TTCCTCAAATAAAGCTTGTCTGACACATTATAATGCAAATCCTAGCAACTATTAACATGAAACAAAATTCTTCCTTTCACTTATTTCCTCTGTGTTAATGAAACTCAGCTAGTAATCTGGACCTGGGATTAAAAACTCCATATCCAATTTCAAGATTGAAGCACTAATTGTTGTATTTTCCTGTACACTTCAAAACCGCATATAGCTAAATAGTCAATATTGATGAAGGTAATTACTGGAAACATACCACTCAATTTCTTTTAAGCATAGAAATAAGCCACCAGTAAGCGGTATTTGTAAGCCAAATCGTATCAGCCTCTGAGGAAGGACCCTCCTCTTCCACTCCTCTGTGAAGTGTTTCAGATCTTCAGTAAAATCATTAATTGTCCGGTATATGAGACACTACTGTACATAACCAGGGAAAACCACCCTCTCGGAAACACAGCCTATTTACTCACAGACCACTAATGGGTTTCCAAAAGCTTTTTAATTCAGATTCTTGACATAGCAATAACTTCATTGTGAGAAAGTACGCATGCTTTCAGTAAATGTTCTGTATGGCAATGCCCACGTATACATGCGATTAATAGGAAGCCCACTTGTACACGTAACCAAAGTACGCAGCATAATATCCAGACCCTAAGAAAGCAAGCTTTGGGTAAAACTTACGTGGCCTTGAAGGAATACTATTCAAATCAATAGGAACTCTAATAGGATCAAGCCCTTAACGCAGCATTTGCAATGTCTGCAGTATCAGAGCTTATGTTAGGGATTTCATTGAGGCTATTTGCCTGTATAAAGGCCCAAAGATTGGATCCCTAAGCATCTGTGATATGCTACCATCAACTGCCACAATCATGATTTGTTTTTACAGCAAATTAGCATTACACAGCCAAGTATAATTATGTAGCCAGCTGGGCTTTTGCAAAATTCCTTACCGTTGTAGGAACAGTCTTATTTGCTTCTTGATAGACATGTTGTTCCGAGACTAAACTGCTAGGGAAATAACCAACTGTCCCCATATGGTCTTCATACTGTTCTCCATAAACCTTCAAGCAAGGAGATGTATAATTAGGTACCTTAAAACAGTCCTCATCTGGCTTGAGCTCTTTCATAATTTAGTCAAAAGCAGTTACTAATCGTGGTTCTTACTCTGCTTTCAGATTTCCTAGTTTCCAATTAGCTGGCACATAAAATGAACCATTAACACAAGTTCTTATACAGGCATACTTTTTGGGAGTAAATTAATACCACCTATAGTTTATCTGGAAGTTTTTTTATAAACGCAGCTAATATCTATCTCCACTTCCCTTAAATTTAAGGGTTTTATGACGAACTGTGATAAAAGCTTTCTCTATAGTACGAGAAAGTAGCCACGGAAAAGAACTGTCGAGCCCTTCAATTAAGGTTCAGTTCATAATTACCATATAGTTATTTCACTACAAAACAAAAAAAAGTTGAAAACCCTCAAGACTCCTCAATCAGTTTAAGTTTAAACAATCACTTCAAAAACTAAGTTGCTGCTTTAAACCCCACAATATCTCAGCATTAGCATCTATTTCCTGACAGAAATGCGTTAATCTACTTCTGATTTGCTTGTATACACAAGAATCTCCTCTTACACTTCCAGCCCAGAATTCTCCAGAGTCTTTTTCTTTCACTAGCTTTGAGTAAACATAAATCAACTGCCCTTTTTTAATATTAATGAATCTGCAGTCTGAAGCATTATAGTCTTCTTCTGCTCTGGCAAGGGAAATGGTGTCTAGGAAAAAAAAAAAAGAATGAGGTGGACAAATTTAAATACAATATACTTGTATAGACAAAAATATGAATATATGTGTGTGTGTATGCACACATGTAAAACTATTTCTACAGACAGAAGTAGGTTATCCTGAAATTAAATCTTCAAGAATTTGTTCTGCCCATTTTTCTGTTCTCCAGTAACCAAAGTAATGGCTTAGGGAAGTGCCATTTCATCATATTGGAAGTTACAATCCTTCTCTCCATATTTACTTTTCACTTGAGTGAAAAATATCCTTCACAAAACTCTTTTTGCAGTAAAACTGCATGTGACATTCCGTATAAACCCTCCCACTATACTCTTAAAGTTGACAAACCGATACAAATATAACAGAGCTAAATAAGCAGAGTAGTTTTCCAACACTCTAAAGCATCCAAACTCTACAGTCATTTTTGAGACTATATTCTCAAAACTAAAACAAAATTACTTACAGACACAGTCATCATCAGCACACAGCTTCTTGCTGGCAAGTTTCTCCATAAAAATTCCAGTTACAAAAGGACACATTAATCCGAGACACAAAAGTAAAACAACCAAATAAACACGCTGTGTCATTTTTCTTTGCTGCAGCGCTTGCCAAATGCGTGCCAGGTCCAGCAATTCCCATCTTTTATGGAAAAGGCAGACACCTGGACAAACACACCAGGCCAATGGGAAGGGGTCGGAGCGACATTCCACCCCACCAGAGCAGCCGCAGGCAGGAAGACGACCTCGGGTCCACTCACGAAACTGAATCCCTTTCCAAAGCCATTCTGCATTAACATTTCAATCACCAACTGTATTATTTAAACATTTTAAGCTTCCCTGTAGTTGTCTGTAGTCTTAATCTTATCTCAAGCAAAGTTTGAGAATGAAAATTAAGTCAGACCCTGGTAAGCAGCAAAGGAAATTACATCCTTCCAAATCCTCATGTTCTTCATTTTAATAAATGCTCATTGACAAGCGTTAATCTTCACCAGACTGTAAACCCTCTGTGGCAGAGATTCCTCTGTTAGAGTCTACAGAGGACCTACCCTAACACATAGGCACAAATGTAAACAAATCATTAGGGAGTTGAAACCCAGCAAAAAGGCTTTGCAGGTCAGCAACTTAAATTTGAAGGTTCAAGCACTGCATACTTGTATAGGCCAGATCCCTTCCACAGGGAGACGCAGCCGAGAGCAAAACACATGTTACGCCAGGACAGCGACCGTTTCACTTTTATTTACACAGCGACCACTTTGCTTTTATTTACATAGCTGAACTCAGTTGGGAGTTTGCAGATGCAAGACACTGAACAACATAACACTGCCACAGGCTGACTTTAAAGGTCCTCTTTACATCTTGGAAAGGACATCTAGAACTTATCTAACTTCGCAAAATCTTGTCATAGCATATATGAGGCAAGACTTGTAGGGAGTACTAATTAAAATAGATGTGCACGCACACAAAAGGAACAACCACTGGAGTTACTGCACTGTAAGCGATTCACATCACAGCTGTCAGGCTACAGAAGGCTGGTCTGGAATAATCTTCAAAAGCGAAGAGAGCAAGTTTGGGAATTCCCAAAACAGCGCTCCAGAGACCAGTGCTTCCTGACTCACAAGGAGGCCTGAACAACTGCTTGACTATACCAGCTTTCAGTCCACAAGCAGAACAGAGGAAGCTGTCAACTGTCATCAAAAATCCCACACTCTCTTTTAAAAGAGCATCTTGCAATTCCTAGCATCACCCTCCTTTTACAGCTGACTTCACTGCATTCTCCTCTAATCTTCCAGGCCATTACTCCTTTCTCCAACCTCCTGTATGTAGTGTCTGACTTCCTTTGCAGACAGTTCCACACAAACCCTTCTAAGTGAATAAAGGTGAAGAGCAGTGGTATGCAATGGTAGTCTCATGTACACAGACTGATGGGATGCAAGGACAGCATCATTAACACCTATAAAATTATGACTACAGAAGGAAAAACGTAAGGTTCATGACGGAATAACATAGTCACTTTTGCTCCCTTACAGGCATATTTAAACAACACAGGAAGGGATGGCACCGAGCCGTGGCCACAGAAGAAAGGCTACAGCCTCCAGTATCCTTCCTGCTGCCCCCACTGACCAAATTAGTTTGGAAACAGAAAAAACCCCAACACCTGCAATGTAGCTACAATGCAAAACATTCTTCCTTGTAGTTTCTTGCCTGAACATCAGCTACTCTAATACTTGCCTGAAGCACTTCTAAAGGAAACCATGCTAACTCTATCTCACTACTTCTTTGCATGAAAGGGTCGTTGGTGGCCTCACAGAGGAAGTGTTCGAGTGAGGAGTGGTGCAACACGACAAGCAACGTGTGACCGCTTCCTCTCAAACATTAATCTTCAAGGGTCTGATTACAACCCTCCTAGCCAACGCCATGCAAGAGCTCCTGCAAGATTCACCAAAAATATAAATTTAATTACTCTCTTAACCTAAAATATCTTTCTAGGTCTTCCATCACATGAACAAAACACTTAAGCATTTGAAGTCATTTTTGCACCCAAATATTTATAACAGTTACAACTCACAATACTGCATCCGATTACTTCACTGCATTGTTATTTCATGTCACACAACACCTGTAAAAGCTTCTGACAAATGGAGAAAAAACCCAACCAAACAACAAACCCAGAAGCATTAGGACATGTATTTTGGAAAAACCTACCTAAAAACAGACCATAAGGCTCATCTGCATTGTCTTTGTAAAGAGCCAGAAAGCTCTTCCTAAACCATTTATTAAAATCACCGGTAATAGGCTGGAAAGAGCAGAGGAGAAGACAACAGATGAACTTTTATGTTTCTTCTGTGGACCTGCTTCTACTTCCAGCTGTCATTACAAAGACAAAACCAAACTGAACTTAACAAGTGCTTGCTTACTCAAGTCAAACTGTCATCAATTTCTATCCATACTTAGAAAACCCCCCCACTAATGATAAGTTGTTTTTCTTACGTGACAAAATTATTCTTGCTGAAAATCAGCTGTCTCCTTAATAATGAGGCTGAAGATTGAGTGTTGCATTTATTCTGAATATGCTGACATTT